TTCTGGAGGCTGCGTGGCTTCAGGTGAGGTGGGCGTAGGGCTACGGTGTGAGGACAGCACCTCAACCTCAGGTGCAGCGTCAATCACCTTTAGGCTGCTGCGGTCTTTGAGTGACTGGTTAAGCTCCTTATTTTATTAATTGTTTAAATATTTTTACTCTTTGTGGGACATTCCTTAAAATTGCCTTCCCCCCATATGTAGCTTTTAGTTAACTGCTATGTTTTAGGGGTAGGCAGTTGTTCTGGTTTTGAATGTGTGTGCGCACATTTGTGTGCATGTGTGTTTGTTGGAGTTTCTCGAGGGTGTGTTGTTTTCTGGGCTAGATGGGTTTTCCTACCGGGTGTAGGGTACAAGCTAGAGGGATGCCAGGGAACACGCCTCGGGAATGGGGCCAGATCGGAAGTTTTGAAGATGGCAATGTTGTCATGATTTGATGAATACGGATAGAAAGGGTGAACTGGGGCAGAATCCTACTTCTCAATTGTAGGTAAACATGGGATGTGGAGGAATTAGAAGGATAACAGCTTTTAATTCAATTATTGAGTGTGGAATATAGTGGTAAGTAAAGAACATGTGGAACATTCAGCTATACATCCTTACTGTGGAACAAGTTCCTGGTGGTGCTGGAAGTCTAAGAAGAATCTACAATGGTATTGTCAGTTCATTTCTACTTTTTGGGGAATGAGATTAATAATCTATGAAAAATAAAGATCACCATATGGTCAGTTTGTGAGCCTGGACATCCTTTTAAGGGCTCTGAATTCCCGGAGTTGCTTTACAGGGGAGGGGGAGGGGAGAAGCCTTATCAGGAAACTCAGATAAAACTGCAGCTGGAACAGTGACCTTGCTTCGTGCCCCTGACCCTGGCGTCAGGTCATTGGAGGAAACTAGGTGTGCCCCCGGGAGTAGTTCAACTCAATTCAATCCGATTCATTTCAATCCACTTACTTAAATTACAGCAATTTACTTGGTGGCTAACTATGCAGCGCTAGGGTTAGAGATGTCCTGGGACTATACAGTCTAACACAATAGCCCCTGTCCTGCGGGCTTATCAAGTACTTGAAATGTGGCTAGCCCAAACTGCGACGTGCTGTTCACGCGAAGTACACACCAGATTTTGAAGGTTTTGTATGCAAAAATAATGTACAATATCTCATTAGTATTTTTGTTCATACTGATTAGATGTTGGTAATATTTTGAATATATTAGGTTACATAAAATATATTATTAAAATTAATTTCACCTATTTTTTCCTCTCTAAAATGTGGCTACTAGAACATTTAAAATTTCATACCTGGCCCCAACACTTGTGAATTGCATTGTATTTCTTTTGGATAGAAGCATTCTAGGGTATTTAAGGAAAGCTGAGTAGTCATATAGGCTAACAAATGTGACCCTGTGGGGCCTTCCTTCAGGACAGCAACCCGAAACCACTCAACACAAATCATCCCCTCGTTCTGAAAATAGGGAGGGACTGCCGGGGATCATAGTACCTGTTTCTTTACCCCACCTTCAGCTTCCTAAACTTCCTGCAATCTTATATAGGTTAGTGTGATGATGACATTTACATGGAAATATTAAAAACAAAAATGAAAATAAGCTATAGCTTTTAGTCCTTATTTGGTCCTGAAAGACAATGTATCCCAAACACACGGAACAACCTTGGAAGTTAGTGTAGTGTCCTGAGGAAAGGACTGCAGTAACTAACAGCCCTTGACAGGTAGTGCTGGCGAAGTCCAGAGTGAGAGACAGACCGGACCAGGTGTAGCTGTGACATGGGTGGTAATCGCGGAAAACAAAACATGACGTACTTGAAGTGGCATCTGTAGGTGGCACATGGGAATGATGGTGGTGCCAACAGGTGTGGAAATGAAGGCAATACGATGGCCTCCTGAGAGCTGACTAGAAAAATCATGCAGACACTTAAAAAGCAGGGCCCCGAATTCAAGCACCTGTGCAGGTAACGTAACTGAGGAAAGTGAGCCCAACTTCAGGGCTGCCATTTAAGACTCCACCTGCAGAAGCAGCCGGAGTTCTGTTCATCTATTTTTTGCTGGATGTGCCCGGTATTATGAAATCTGATGTTTAAACAGATACCTAGATATGTAAATGCTGGCAACTTATTCTAAAAATGTAACCACTTTGAGATCTGAACCAAATAACTCTAGCCTTAAAATCAACAGGCACATTTTCCTTTGTTTGCTTCTATATTTACTGAACAACCTTTTGATCACATTTTTCTTTGTTTCTGAAAGTTTTTTTTTCCGTTACCATTTAGTCTCCTTATACCCCCTCCCCCCAAACAGTCACCACATGGTTGTCCATGTCCACGGCTCCTTTTTCTCTTTTGCTCACTCTCTCCACCCTCTGCCCTCCCCCTCCCCTACACTTAGCTGCCATCTGCTCTCCAGCTATGAGTCTGCCTGTGTTTTGCTTGTTAGTTCCGTTTATTCATTAGATTCCACGTATGAGTGAAATCATATGGTATTTGTCTTTCTCTGACTGGCTTATTTCACTTAGCGTGATGCTCCGCAGGTCCATCTATACTACCGCAAAGGGTAAAATTTTAATGAAAATGTAAATTTTTTTAAACGGAAATCTGGCAATTGAGAGAATTAAGTACCATTTACAGGCACTGACCATATGTTAGACACTAATGCTTCTACCCCAGTGCGAGACAGCTGTTAAGATCAGAGAGCTGAAATAACTCCCCAGGGCGCGGAGCTAGTTTTGAATTCCAGCCTAGGTACCTGTTTCCAGCGCCTCTGCTTTGTCATTCCAGGTACCTGACAGCTGGTGAGTCCTGGTGAATGAAAAATTTTCAGGTTCCCCTGTAAGAATGGGTTTATACTGACATGCGACCTACTGGCCCCCTCTTCCCTCCTCCCCCAACGCCACCCTGAGCCCAGCATGAATATTTGGGGCTCTATGATAGTTGTGTCTGTCAGTGTGAGGTAGTTGATTGGTATGCTGGTAATCCAGCCCTGTGAATTTGGCTAATTCAATTCATCTCTGAGAGATGGTTCTGCACATTGAGCACTAAGTAACTAGGTTCCTAAACCTGAGAGACCGATGGCCAGATCAGGCAGATGGTAGATTCATACAGAAAAATGCCCCAGGTGAGCCCTCTGGGAAACAGCACCTGGTTATGTCAGCAATCCTACCTTTGTAGTGATTTTAGCAGAAAACGTAATTTCCAGTTTCTTCTTTATACATTATATTAATGGGGGGGGGGGAAGCTCCACAAATCTAGTTTTAGTGTGGAATAGAAACTCAATCGAAACAGCAGATCCAGCACTCTGTGTAAGTGAGTTTAATTTGAGATGAGTTGCCCTCTCTGAACCTAGGAGTTCCACCAGTCCCTCCTGGAGACATACGTACCTTTATGAAAATAACAACGTAACCTTCTAAGGAGTTCATCCTTATTGTTTCTCACTGAGTACATGTTTGAAAGGTAATTCCTTTCCAGTGGAAATACCAGAATCCAATCGAGAAACCCAAATGGAGGCTATGGATAGATGAAAATATGGCAGGAAATAAGAAAAGACTTGCTAAAGGAAGCGGACAAGCTTGTTCAAGTGTGCAAGGAAGTGGGCAGATGCTGTATGAGTGAAAGTGGACAGAAAGGTCAGCCTCGGACTCCTGAAGAGAAACCGCAGTAATCACCGAGGGCCGTCAACTAGTGGGTTAGAGAACCCAAAATCACACCTCTATGTTGGAGGAGGTTTTGCCCACAAAATGAGTGCATTGTTTGAATGAGTTGTTTGGCTGTTCTCATGTAGTCTAGTTGCAGCATAGATTTTGGATATTGTGGGTTCCTGTTCTCTCGATGTATTTGATTCCTGGAAAGTGTGTTATAGACGTGAATCGACAGAGGCAGACAGAGAACACGCTATGGAATTCAAGTCCAAAGCCACATTTACCCAGTGTCTGCGGCAGGGGTCTCTGCATGAAGAGATGCAGGAAGCTCCTGTAAATTAGTGTAAGACATGGAATTCAGGGCTTGTCCAGACCATATATCCTGGGAGATGTCTGAGTGTCTATGGAATTTAAGAAGCCCCCTTTTACTACTGGTGGATCTTGACCCACTTTCCTTACTAGGAAACTAATTAAAATTAGGGTACCTGACAGGAATGTGAGGATAACCACAAATCAGAATTTCATGTTTGAGTATTTTTTTCCAGTCATGAGAGATAGTAACCCTCAACAGCAAGTGGTGATTTGCAGAGGAGAAAGATAAAGCTGTCTGAGCTCTTTCCCAAACTTTCAAAACAGAGACTTTCTCTTTTTCTTGGCCTTTTCTCCAGGGCCTCATGAGACCAAGAGCCTGTTTATTCTTGTGGGATTTTGGAAGATTGATATTGGGAGTATCACCTAAAGTCGAATGGTGTCAAGGAAGTGAGAAGTTTGGTTCCTATTCATAGATATTTGACTTAATGCCTCTTTTCCACTACTTATTATATACCGGATGTACTTGGTAACTAAATTACTAAAGCATTAAATGATTTAATCCTCACGACTTCCCTGTGAGGTAGTATATCTCATCTAACGGGCAAAGAAACCGGCATAAATACTTTACATAGCTAGCTCTAGGATAAAAAGCTGCTAAGTTCTGGTGCTGAGATTAGAAACCAGGCAACTCTGCTCTGGATGCCACTTGAAGACACGAGACTGTCTTGTGTCACACCAGGAGATTTTTTTAGGAGTGTCTTAGGCAAACCAGGATTTACATCCTGCTACGAAGTTAGGAGGGATATAGGATCTCTGTGATCCATACCATCATTTGTCTCTTGCTGCCCAACCTGAAAGATGAACCCAAAAGAATTTCTTTGCATGAGTCTTCTGGTGAAGGGCAAGGAGTTCCCAAACGCTTGTGGAATGCATTGTAATGTTTGATAATGAGTCCCCCACCCGGTCCTTCCTCTGCCACCGTTGCCGCACAGCGTGCAAAAAGAGAGGCAGAGAATCTCTAAACACCCACCGAAGCTACCATTTCTCACCATATTTCAAATTCCAGATTGGTGCTGTTGATGTCCGGCTCATCAAAAGCACAGTTTAGCAAGTGCTGGGGTCCATCCACTTCCAACTGACTGTAGCAGGAGAATGAGTAGTCGTCCAGCTCAGCGTCTTCCAAGTCTCCTGTGGGGGCACAAACCTGCAGCTGTGAGTGAGGCAGGCCACATGAATGCAGGGGCAGCCTGTGGAGCTGACATAGAGAAGTGATTATGGTGCATTTAAAGGAGAAAAGCCCGAAGGCAGAAATGAGACAGAGTTTTCAAAACCAACTCCCTCCCGCACTGGCCCCCCCCCAAAAAAAAACCCCAAGCCAAAACAAAACCTAATGAGCACAGATTTTTCTAATAGAAAAAGAGAATCATTGCAATTAAGGAATAACCTCCAGATATTTCTATTTTTGGTTTAGGGCTTTAGAGATCCAGAACGAAGCACGAAGCACAGTCTTTCCTTTGTTTAAATGGTGATTTTTTTTCCTGTTAGCTTGTACATTTTAAGTAAGAGATACTTTATCTCCGTTATTCATATGATATCTAATCTAGCCTTTGACCTTATGACAAATCTTTATTTATTCCCTCTCAAGTATTTTATTTATTTAAAAAGATTTAAAAAAATTATTTTTAGAGAGAAAGGAGAAGGAAGGGAGAAAGAGAGAGAGAGACAAATCAGTGTGAGAGAGAAACATCAATCAGTTGCCTCTGTATGCACCTTGCCTGGGACTGAACCTGAAAGCCAGGCATGTGCCCCAACCAGGAATTGAACCAGCGACCTTTCGCTCTGCGAGACAACGCTCAACGAAGCGAGCCACTCTATTCAGGGCTCAAGCATTTTTTGAATGAAGGAAGATGATAGAATTCTTACAATCAGAAGTTTACTTTTTTAAGGGGTAGCTTTCCCTTCCCTAAATAGGCATCCCAACTAAAAGCACCATTGATTATTTCTGCTGTGTGGATATTTATTTAAGGTAATTTGTTTTAAGCTACTAACGGAGGCAAATGTGATAAAAAAAAAAATTAGAGTTGACAGTACTTAGAACTTCTGGACCTTCCCACAACTCTTATAGGTAATGTTTCTGTGTTTACTGATCTTCTGTAGATACTGTATCTCATCAAAATGAGCAAATTCTGGAAGTATGTGGGGGATCAGAAATTTTTTGTAGTCATTTTTGGAAAGCACAATCTGTCACAGATAGCGTTTAATTTTTTAAGTTAGATTGAAGACCTTAAGTTTAAATAGACATTTTGTATGTATATTTCACGCTACTGATAGAGCAAAATCTGTCAGTATATATACTCGTCCTGGATCACGAGAAAACCCACCGTAACCAAAGGTGTTCTGAGCACTCGAGTGTGAGTTTATGATTGCTTGCAGGCCCATCGATACTAGAAATTAGATGCTTCTAGGGCTTTAAATCAGACATAAAATATTCTAAAATTAGACCCCAGTTGAGCGTTCCAAAGGCCATGAGATGTACAAACAGCACCCCCTTTATTTAAATAAACTAGTAGGTCTGTGGGGGAAGTTAGTAAAGTGGGTTGTGAGGGGACCAACCAGCTGAGTGACAGGTCGGCTTACTCAAAGCAACAAATTTGGAAAAGCCGCGACTAGACAAGCTCTGTGGGCCTGCTCTTTCTGAACATTCCTAGAAGCCATCGAGCTCACAATTCTGCCCTCAGTAAGGGCTCCTGATATAATTTTAGCAGGGTGCGCCCCCCCCCCCATTACCGTTTTAAATAACAAGGGCAGCCGTCCAATTAGGTTCACAGAGCACATTCATTGTGACTTTACAGGCTTAAATCTCGGTTCCTAAGAGCCGGCACCTTTCTCCCTTGAAAGGTCTGGGTAGTTGTAGCCTTCCCTTACATGGCAGCCTCACGCTGTCTTGGTGTTTTCTCTGCTGTGGACATTCCACCCATCCTATGCAACAGAACCTACATTACTGTTTGGATTCAGACATCCAGGATCAGCTTTGTCTCCAAAATACTTTAACATATAAAGTAAGCCAGAGACGGAACAGTATTGGCTATGCTGGGCATTGGCAGAACGGAGCACCCTCACTGCCCTCAGCCACAAGGCTGGCAAAGTGAGCTTGCTGTGTGTACTCATACAATATACAGAGCACTGGGTCATATAATCAGAGTGGCTAGAGTTTGAGATGTAGCTCATTGACTCATTAGCAGATATTTCTGGGCAAAGTTGCCTTATAACCAAGAAAAATTCCCCTCAGCAACTTGCACAATTGCATGTCATTTTACAAAGGGAATGCTATACCTGATCTAAGCTGAAAATTCTTAGGTAAGAGTAATATACACAGTGGTTAAGCTCCCCAACACCAGAGCTGGACAGATGTGAGTTCAAATCCTGGCTGTTCTGCTTTGTAGCTGTGGTCCTTTGTCAGGTTACTCACCCTCTCTAAGCCTCCGTGTTCTGATATGTAAATTCATATTATTATGAGGAACAACTACAAAGACTTAGAACACAGTAAAACCTCAAAAGGGGTTAGCTATGACTATTGTCACATACACTTTTGAGAAATAAGTAATGAAAAGGAAAAACAAGAATTCTAATTCTGAGAATACGAACATGAAACCTTTGGGGCTCCTTTGAAAAAGAGGTCTATGCCAAAAGTGTTATTACTTTGGCTTTGAAATTACATAGAGCTTTTGAATGACAATGAGTTAACCTATAATTTTTAAATGCTCATTATCTAAGCATATCTTTTCATGAAAATTTAATTCTTTTGGAATGTGTATTACAGGCAAGGTAGTATCTACCTACTGAAAAGAATTAGTGGATTAAAAGTGTAAGTGGTTTCGATTTTTAGCTCCTTCTTCTCTTGATCACCCTTGTGGTTATCAGAGAACTAACTAACTTATCTTTTGACAAACAACAGCTGATTAATTTTCACACCAAACTGGGAAATAGTTAGATGTCATCATGTGGGTGGGTGATTACAGGTCTCCTAACAATGCCTGAAATTTTAAAAGTTGAGGTGAAAACTCAGCTTTCATAACAATTCTTATTTCTTTTAAAAATCGTATGGTCATCAGGGAGAAACAGAGGGAAGGAATATATTACATTCCAAAGAGTAAGATTTCTGCGTTACTTGCCAAGTATCTCTGTGCAAAACACAAGGCAATGTTTACTGTGGAACAATCATCATCCCCCTCAAAGTGTTTCATACATGGTCACACGGTGGAAAATGTTAACCCTCTGACAATTCCTGTAATAAAAACATTCTAGGAATTTCCATCCTTAGTGACTGAGGATGACTTAGAAATCTAAGCTGAGTCATCAGGCTGATGTGTAAGATGTTTTTGATAGGGAAATAAGTTTTAACTCTTCAAGTGAAAGAGTTTAACTTTCACACACAAGCTGGCGGTCCTACTTCCCAGGTAGCCCCACTGCTGCTCCTGTACCTTTGTCTACAGCTTTGTTGTAATTGCAACATATTTACTAAGTAGGCAGCATCCGCTTCTAGGTGCTAAGCTCTTCAAGGATCCCAGAGAGAACTATGATATCAAAGTAAATTTGCTGATAGGGAGACAACTAAATATATTTCAATGAGACAACTAATTGAGATCTTTTTCTATTGTTAGTTACTAAGAATCTCACACAAATCTATCAAAACTTAAGTATTTTGAAGAAATTTTCAAATGTGTATTGAACATCCACTGTGTCCTACACAGTCTTTTAGGTGCTAGGGGTGTAGCAATGGTAGGTAGCAGACAAAACTGTTGCTTCTAGACATTATTTTATCATGAAAATTACGTTTTTGCAACCTCCTGAAGAGCTAAGCAAAACCAATCTAGCTTGATTTCTTAACAAGGAATAACAAGGTATAACCAGCTCAACTGTTGCATCTAAATGGGTGTTCCTTTTGTAAGAGCAGAGGAATTGACCAACATTAAGATCCACATTGGGAGAGTCAAAAGCGTTTCCCTTGAAAATGCTAGGACTTTGTATGCCATCCCCAACCCCTGTCCTGGTGGTGAGAACATACACAATGAATACGTGGTAAGTTCTCCATTCCACCTCAGTGCCCGGCTCAGGTCTATTAGTGATCTGAGCAACTTAAAGTATGTTCTCAAGATAATCAGAAATCCTAAAGAAAAGTTAGAAATGACTCACCATTCTGTGCATAGCCACTTTCTCCAGAAACGACTTGAAGTAAATAGAAAACAATACCAAAAGCTGTACTTAGAATTGTCATTCTGAGAGAGAGAAATAGAGGAAAGCAGGCGTGTGAGCCTATGTGTAGGAATGAATGAGAGAGAGAAAGCGCGCGAGATTGAGTGAGAGAGCCTTAAAGCTACAGCTTTAGGGCTTTATACTGACTTAACCACAGACAGGGGGAAGTATAAACATGGCAAAAAAAGAAGGCATGTACCAGAAACAGGAAGCCAGAGTAAAAATATTGCTGCCCTAAGCAGAGGTAGAAGAAATGAAGAAATAGAGCATTTGCAATTATTGTCTTCCTCTGGTATTCCTCCTGGCGGCCTCAAACTTATGGTGCTTATTTGAAAGTAATGTGGTAGATTCAAATGTAGACTCAAACTATTTTAGACTAGAGTGTGAATTGGACCCACTTTAAAAGAATCATGGGACAAAAGTCTAAACTTACAAAGATAATCAATTGGCTGTCAGGGATGAATTTTGCTGTAAAGAAAGATTGTGCACTTAATGAAGTAATTTATTTAGGTATATATTAAATGGTGCACCTCCAATCTCTGAACATAGAGCATTTCACAAGAAGAGTAATTTTTCTGTTTTGTTCTCCATGTAGCAGTTACTTATACCTCACCCATCAGGGTTATTTTTGTAATTTAGGAGTTGACAAACCATGACCGAGGGGTCAAACTTGGCCTACCCTCTATTTTTGTAAATAAAGTTCTACTGAAACATGGCTGCCTCTGCGCTACAACAGGGGAGCTGAGTAGCTGAGACAAACACTGTATGGTGCACGAAGTGTAAAATCTTCACTGTTTGGTCCTTCGTAGGAAAAGTCTGCTGATCCCTTGCTTATCGGATAAAATAGCTATTTTCTTCATGACTTTAAAATAGGATTCCAGCCCTGGCAGGGTGCTCCATTGGTTGGAGCGTTGTCCCGTACACCAAAAGTTTACAGGCTCAATTCCCGGTCAGCACATACACCTCGGTTGCAGATTCCATCCCTGGGTGGGGTGCATATGGGAGGCAACCAATCCATGTTTCCCTCTCACGTTGATGTGTCTCTCTCTCTCGCTCTTCCTTTTTCTATAATCAATAAACATATCCTTAGGTGAAGACCCAACAAATAATAAAATAAAATAGGATTCTATTTGTGAAAATTTGGTTCCCACACAACTTGCAGGAACATGTGGCCCGTGTAAACCACACTAGTATCTACATATGCAGGGCAGAAGCCTGGGACAATGACCACAGAGACGATTCCGACTCTCCCTACGCTTGTCTACCAAGCGAAGTTGTTCCCAGCACGACCCCGGGGTTGAAGTAGCGAGAGTTGTGAAGCCTGGACGACCTCTTGGTAATCACTGGGTTTTTGTCTTTAGCTGTTGCTGGCGTTTGAAGGCACAGGTTAAGAGCAGCCCTGTCATTAAAGAACAGAAACACCTGCTGTAGGACAAGAACATACTGCTGCTCATCTGATGGCTAATCTCACCTGGATTGAAGTCATAAAACTCCAGTCTCTTAATTCACAAGGCCTCTCCTTTGGGAAAAAGCCACATGACTACAGTTTTAAGGTACTGAAGACACAGATGTGGAGTGGACAGTGAGTGATGAGCTTCTGTTCAATTTGCTGCTATAGGGTAGAACTGGTCCCCGAGGCCTGTAAAAATGGTTACATTAACAAAGATAAGCAACATCCCCTGGAGTGTTGACACTTAGTAGATGTTCTTTTAACGCCTCATGACTGAGTCTGTCCCATCATTACCGTTATGTGATCATCTCATCAAAGGAGAAGGGAGATGGGGCATCTGGGACCCCTCTTCAGGGCGGAGGCAGACTCCGTGAGAGATGGGCTGTCCTAGTTATGGTGTCAGACCGCGGACTGGGCACTCAAAGGGTCCTCCAGAGCAAGAAGCCAAGTGACCAGGATATAACCTTTCCATTCTCTCCGCTTTGGCTTTTTTTTTCTTTTGACATTTTATTTTCAAACATCATCCAAACCAAATAAAGAGTGACAATTTGGTGCATCAGATAATAATGTGTGTTCTTGTTTCTAAGCTTGTTTTGAAAGCTTGGTTAGAAAATCGGAAGCTCAATTCACAAAACTTGGTATATTTTGGGTGCTGAATTGAATATCCAAGAAAGCTTTAATTATAAATTTCCATGAACTAAGTAAGTGTTCAAGGAGAAATCACAAATTCTGTGTGTCACCCACACAGATCTCATGAGCTACTCGCAGATTGTCACTTCGTGGGTGAATAATTGGGTCATGTCTCTTTAAATTCTCTTGTTTATCATTTAAGTGGACTATCATTTTGATTGTATCTCTTTCCTTTAGTTGTGAAGATGTAAGAGAACAAAGCCCAGGCACAATATTTTCGTACAGCATGTGCTAGTTTGCTCAGGGGATTTCCACTGGTGTGCTTGCTGTGTTTGGGTGGGGCAGGAGATGCCGACGGACCTCGGAGAGAAACCTAGAAAAAGCATGGGGCACTCAAAGAGATGAGGAAGCTCACTTGTCCCTGTAGAGATGACGGGGCACCCTAGTGCCTCCTCTACTTTCTTCACCCAGATCTCATCAGTCCATGGGAAACTTAGACAACCCGAGGGAGGACAGCCTTGCTCCTCCCGTCTTCAGGAGAGAGGTGGAGAGATAAGAAAGGCAGAGTAGGAGGGGTACTCAGCACGCCTGAGACTCTCGCCGTGAAATCAGGATTTGAGCGCTGGACTGTGGGTGAAGCAAGTCCTGCGCCAGCAGCTTGGTTGGGCAGACATTTTCTCTGATCACTGCCTTTCTTCGCTACTTTCTTTCTTCCCTCATTTATAGCTTGTCTTCCTTTACTTTTCGTGAGTTGCCATGATATGCAGAATCATAAAAAACAAAAAGCATTTGATTATTTCTCAGGTACAAGAAGAACACAGTGACCTGGTAAGACTCCCAGGATCAATCCGTTAGTCACATCTCCCCTTTCTTTTTATTTTTCTGATCCTTCAGACCCCTTGTTAACCAGACAAGGCACATAAAGATTTTCTTTTTCTTTTCAAGCTGTAACAAGCTATGTGCCCTTTGTATTTAAAGGGTTCAGATAAATGACCGTGCAGCTAGATTTGAGATTCTGGAATGTTAGAGTTGGAGGAGTGTGTGCTCTTTATTTGATTGTGGTTTGTTGACTTGGTAAAAGTCCACCCCAGGAAGTCCCAGGTTTTTTCCTCTTTTTTTTTCCAATGGTTTAAGGACAAAAATGGTCTGGAAAAATTCAGGCTGAGCATCTGAACTTATTACTGACCTTCACTCTCTGAACTCTTCTCTTAGGAACAGAAATTTCATGTCCTCCCTTGACAGAAATTACAAAGTTTGTGGATTAGACACCAAGGCAGTATCTCTTTCAGCACCTTTGGGAAACAAACTATTTCAAGAGCAAAAGTATATCTTTGGGTCAGCTTTTAGGTGAAATTTATAAATTAACCCTTAAACGTTCAGTAATTTGTCTTAAATGAGAAAGATTTAAAAGGCACTCACCTTGAGATGGACTATCGAAAGACAATAAAGTGAAACAACAACAACAACAATGACACAACAATAATAATAATAGGCAGCATCTGTTGCTATGGAAATACCCTAGGCAAAATCTGATGTTTGAAAAATACTCAGAAAGTTCCAAAACACGTTTTACTGCATCTGTATCAACTGTCCCTCCTCCTATGGTCACTTACCTTTTAAAATTAACAGTTAGCTTTTATCCATAACAGAGAAAATAATCTTGGACCACTGCCTTCTGCTGGAAGGAAATCCAGGCCAGCTCAGTGGGGTAACTGGGGACCCCCAAGAGCTGGCTGTAGGAAAAGAGAAAAACACCCAGGGGAGGCAAGTAAGTGAGGCTGGCTGTAGGGAACCCTAACTTTGGTCTCGTCCTAAATGAATCTTTTTTAGCATTTTATCAGTGTGTGCTGAGTCAGTCCCTGGGCTGCAAGGGGGAGTCCCAGCCTCATGAAGTTTCATTTCCAGGCGCATAATATTTTCCTTGTTGTGGCTCTTTTTTCATTTCCCTTTCCTCCCTCCCCAACGTCTTCAGCCCCATGTCTGGCTGTCAGCTGTGTTCTTTCTGGGCAGAATTTGAAATGTCATGTTGCGTTGCCTCTACACGATTTCAGTCTTAGTCTTTGGATGCCACAAAAATGGAATCTTTGACTGTCAGCTCTTCCTTCTTTGCGGAAGACATTTCTGCCAGAAATAGGGTATTTTGATGTCAGGAGATGCCCAAATTTCAATAAAAATGTAAACAAGAGTGTCCATCCTTGGGAGAAGTGATGTGCCTTCTGGCAGTGGTGGCAGATCCCAGTGGGGCAGCCGGAGCAGGCGTGGATCTGTCCGTAGCTCACAGTTTCTCCCTCAGGTCCTTCACAGCAGGCAGTTCTGGGAGGATTCTGCTTATTGCCGATATAGTCTGCAATGCCACAGACTAATGTGAGGCATTGCCTCCTGCAGAGGAAAATCCGCATCAGATGACCCCATCCTAGGCCCTGGCCCGTGGCTTTGCACAGACCCCCTTGCCTTGGTGTGAGCCATCACCCCACGCACCATTTTCTAAGGGGCTGCAGGGCTGAGTGCTACACCTGCATTGAAACCCAGACAACTGGGGAAATTTGTATGAGCCCCCAATTCTATGGGATACACTTCCCCTGCCCTCTTAGAACCCGGCATGGCAGTGTAAAGCGAGTCCGCAAGAACAACATTGGTGCCCCATCATGGTCCAACCTCACTACGCAAAGTCAACATCGAAAGTAGCCCTGAGTGACAGCGTTCAAGGAATTGCCACGGGGAAGCAGCATGTGTTTCTAAAAAAGAAGGAAGGAATAAGAAGTCTGTTTGTTGCCAGGCTACATGACCCTGGGCTAAGTCACTTTCAGGAACTTCTCAAGCATATGGGGAAATAGTACCTACTTTTGCTTACTTACATATAAACCTTTTACTTATCAGTCTCAGAAGACTTTGAAATTTAACGTAGGGTTTTTCTTTGTTGTTGTGTTAGTTGCGTTATGTTGCTTAAACAAAGAGGCCCCAAAATGTAGTGGCTCTAACAAAGGTGCAAATTTACTGCTTCTCATAGTAAACGATCCATGGGGTAG